GAAGCACAGCGACCACTTATGTATGAGTTCGAATTCGAGCATTTTCCACTGTTAGCGGTGTTGTCATTTTAACGGAATCAGGCGCTTTGCATAGTTTCAATGAAAATTTCATCGAAGCATTGATTGGGAAAAGCAAAAAATATCGCTGTATGTTGATAATATTTATTTATCATTATCATTATCATTATCACTCATCTTAATCAGGAAAATTTCTGATAATTTAAAATCGAAATAAATTAATGATAAATAATTTGCTTTTTCCAATAGCACTGAACGATGGATTTCAAAATTGTAATAACATAAAGTTTATAATGAATTATTGAATTATTCTAAGGATTGTAATAACTCAAAGTTCACATTCATTTATTGGATTATTCTACGATCAAATTCTTCCAAGAATTGTGATCTTAAAAATTTTAATCAATTATTGAATTAAAATTTACATTCATTTATTGGATTATTCTACGATCAAATTTTTCCAAGAATTGTGATAACTTAAAATTTTTAATCTATTATTGAATTAAAATTTACATTCATTTATTGGATTATTCTACAATCGAATTCCTCCAAGAATTGTGATAACTTAAAATTTTTAATCAATTATTGAATTATTCGTAAAAAGATTTGCTTTTTTCCTTCTTTTTTTTGTTTCCAGCATATCACTGATATAATTCCAAAATTTCATAGTCATATTTTATCTTCATCGTTAAATGGAATATCTAATGAATTAGCAATGCAACATTCTGATAAACTTTTCGAGCATATCACGAATAAAAGTTCGTGTTTTGTTTTTTTTTTTTTTTGCATTATTTTAATTGGCAATTTATTGAAATATTAGCAATAAAGCTTTAAAATAAAATCGAATCAAAAATATCAAATGTAAAATTTTAAAAAGTTTAAAAAAAAACGAAAATTACGAAAATTTAACCATTGATTAATTTGTGTTTTTTTTTTTTTTTTTTTACAGGTCTAATTCCTCCTCGTATACATTCATCAGTTACATGGCTGATAAATGATTTAGCCTTATCATTACATAAAATGGATGCAATTGAAAGTGTTATTAGTATCAATTCTTCTTCACATTCATCTATTTCATCTGTTAATGACATATGCTCATCGATACCCTCAACAAGGTTTATCTCTTCTCTTTCAAATTTTCATCTGATATTTATTAAGCAACAAACATATCTGATAATTGTTAACAGGTAATGCTTTTAGTTCACAACCTATTGAAAGTGTTCAATTCAGTGATAATATTCAACAATGGAATGAGATGATAAGTGATAGGACGAATCAGAGCAAATCAATTATAGAAGGCTCATTTTGTGGATTTGCAAAACACTCTGATAACAATTTGATTGGTTTGTTTGAATTTTTTTTTTCTTTCATTTTCATTATCACAATTAAAATCATATAAAGAGCAGAGCGACAAAATAAATGGCTACATTTATGATCAACTGACCATTAAGAATTATGGCTACTGGCTACAAAGAAATAATTACATTTATGATTAACTAACCATCACGAATCACTATTACTAGCTACAAATAAACAACTAAATTTATGATTAGCTGATTATCATGAATTACTACTACTGGCTACAAACAATTAACTAAATTTATGATTAGCTGATTATCATGAACACTACTACTGGCTACAAACAATTAACTAAATTTATGATTAGCTGATTATCATGAATTACTTTACTTCTGATTGTAAATAATTAATTAGGGATTTTAATGTAGTATGAAACTAATGCTACAAAATGAATGTGAAATGTGAAAAGGACAATAGAGAAGGAGGACATTTTCCGGGAAAGTAATTATTGAAAAATTCTGATCATTGATTTGAAATGATTTTATGTTCTTATTGTAGCCATATGCTTCAATATAAGACGTTTGGAGCCAAGTAATGGTGCAAGTTGGGCAGTTTATATCAGTTATAATATGACACTTGATTTTGATACATCTGATAAAAGGAAAGAGGAAGAATCAATTAAAGAAAATATCTCTGATAATAAGAGTATTAGTGGATGTAAAGATGACAATTATCGACTTGATTTTAATGATGAGAAAAATTCAATGACTACGGTTAGTCTCTTTTCATTATGGTAATTTTGTCTTGTTAAGTGAATTTTTCACTAATTTAGATAATTGCTTATTTTTTTTTTTTAATTTAGGTGTCACCGAATTGTGTCGGTTTTTTTTTTTTTTTTTAAATTTTATTCGTACTGGTTTTTTTTTGTGCATAAAATTTTCATTGAATTATTGTTAGTGATACTATATGAAAGAGTATTTCAGGCTGAAAATGATGATGAAAATGCGCAAACGATAGCTGGTGAATATTCGGAATATTATGATACACAACATCTTATTGGTAATGGCGCTTTTGGTTCAGTGAGGTTAGCAACTCGAAAAGATACGGGTATTTTGGTTAGCAGTTTCAAATTTTTTTTTTTTTTGAATTATTTATTTTTAGCTATTTGGTATTAGTAGGAATTATTGATCTAATTACGATGTATTACTTTTATTTTGTAATTTGATACAAATTTTAGAAAATATGAATATAAGAATTTATTTTAAATTTTTAGTTAAAATTTTAGGCAGTGGCAAAATTTGTTTGCAAATCAAAAGTTTTTTCGGAAAGTTGGGTACCAAGTCCTAAACGTGGTAATCGTATGGTACCAATAGAGCTTCATCTTCTCGAAACATTATCTCATCCAAATATTGTTAAAGTCTGGATGTTTTTTTTTCTTTTTCATTATTCGGAATTGTAGTTTTTTCCGCATTCCGCACTCCGCATTCCGCATTCCGCATCATTCCAGATTTTGCCTTTTTTTTGTTTCTAAATTTCTTCAATTATTTTACAAATTTTTACAAATGTTGCATGAATATAATTCATTTTGTAGTTGTTGGATGTTTTTGAAAATGATTTATATTATCAATTGGTGATGGAAAAACTTGATTGTGGAATGGATCTATTTGAATTCATTGAACAACAACCAAAATTAGATGAACCACTTACCAGTTATATTTTTAGACAGGTATTAACAACATTAATTTTATTTCCATTTAATTTTATCATCATTTAATTTTTAAAATTCTTCCTACCCATTAATATTAATCGAAAATTTTATTTTAAACTCAATTTTTCCTCAAAATTCTTTGATGAAGAATTATCATCTGTATTGGATTTTAAAAAAAAGGAAAAAAATCCGAAATTCAAAATACATTATTAATTTCAACATTGTTTTTTTTGCATTCAAAAATTTTATTAAATTTAATCAATAAATAAAAAAAAAAAAAGATTTTCATTATAGGTTGTTAATGCAGTGGCTTATCTTCATTCCAAAAATATTGTACATCGTGATTTAAAAGATGAAAATGTTATCATTGATCAAAATTTTTCATGCAAATTGATTGATTTTGGATCAGCTGCATATTTTGGACATAATTTTGTTTTTTCAACATTTTGTGGAACAATGGAATATTGTAGTCCGGAAGTTTTGAAAGGAAATAAGTAAATTATTTAAATGCCTAGTTTTTTACAATTTCCAATCCTTCTATCATTTATTCAATAATTAATTATTACATATTCATTTTTGCTTACACACTAATTATTAATATTGATTGATTTATTTGTTCAGATATCGTGGTCCTGAATTGGAAATGTGGTCGTTGGGAATTTTATTATATACTCTTGTATTTTTCGAAAATCCTTTTCGTAATTTACAAGAAACTATGCTTGGTGAAATTGAATTTCCTTGGGAAATTTCAGAAGGTAAAATGTTTAGTATGAAAACGTATTATATCCTGGATAATAATATCTTTTGTATTTTAAATTATGAATTTCAATTAAATTCACCCTCTATGATAATCATTTCAATTAAATTCATCCTCTATGATAATCATTTCAATTAAATTCATCCTCTATGATAATCATTTCAATTAAATTCATCCTCTATGATAATCATTTCAATTAAATTCATCCTCTATGATAATCATTTCAATTAATCATCCTCTATGA